CAAAATTCTCTTCAGTTCGCTCACTAAGCTGAAAGGAAGGAAATAATATCTTTTCACCTTGCAGGAGGCTAAAGTTCTCAAAAGATTGTTTATCATTTCAGAAAAACTTTGAATCTAGGTGTCTAGCCAGTGATTTTTCCGTGCTTAGCATCACAGCTTTCTTGAAAACTTTAATAGAAATCGGATATTGTTTAATTACTATTTTTATATGTCTTGGAGACATAGCAAATAATCTTAATGTCAGTAATTATACGATTTTTTTGCCTCATTCATGTATGAATTTTAAAAATTAACTTAAACTGAAAAAAAATATGACCGCATGCGAGAGAGGGGAGGTCTGGAGTCAAGCGAGATTGATGGGGTTTGTGCTTTTTTGGTGTCTTTGTTTGAAACATTGGGAGTTGTCATCAGGATTTCTCACCCTGGATGATACTTGCTTAGGGAAAGGTTTATTTCCCAGAGAGAGAAAGAAATATTTTCTATACAGGACCTGGTAGTTGTTTTGGTGGGTGATGATGATTTTAAAAGTTACCTATTCCTGTTAATAGGTGCTAACCATAGCACAGAAGCACTCAGAAACCTCCTCACAGGAAGAGAAGAGAACACATACTCCCATTTCAGTCAACGGTAGAAGTTGCTGAAGTGCTTTTTTTTTGCCCCATTTTTCTTGGGCTTGTCTTTTACCTTTACTTTTCTTTGTAGATCTCACTGATTGTAGTGGGTTGGCAACCAAGTTCTATTTAGTTAAAACTGTTGGGATTCACGTAAGGGAAGTTTTTCTTTACCTTTGCTGTAATTTTACGATCCACCTAGTAAATCCTCCCCTTTGTAGTCTGTTAATAAACAAGTTTCAAGACATACATGAAAAGTCCATTTTATTTCCCATAGTGCTGCCTCTCTGTTGGGCAACTTCTGGGCTAGATAATTGAGTTGGAGAGGACTCTGCTCCCAAACTATTAATCTAATCTAAGTCCCCAGAACTCAGAACCTGGTTTGAAGACACAGCACTTCTTTCATGCATGCCTATTCCAAAAGATGGGACTTCTGATGGCACTTAAAGAAGGATCTTAACCTTTGTTCTCAAAGGATTCAGGGCTTCTGTGAACAACTCTGTGCTTTTAAAGTACTCCTGCTTCTAGTGCAAAAATCTTGAGGTTCTCCTCCGTTTACCTGTAGGGTGTTAGCTACTGAGTGTCTTCCAAAATCAAAGGCCTGTGAAAATTACTGAATAAAAGAAAGCTGTTGAGGTTTTCTGTATTTACTTAGCGCTGTACAGATTTATTCTCATCTGCCTGGGCTGTCTGATTTAATAGAAATAATTTCAGTAGAACATCTCTGAACAATAAAATTCTTGTCTTGGTTTTCAACTGCATGTATGTGCCTTAGCTTGGTATGTTCAAGCTTAGATCTTTGCTTCTAGGAAATCTGATTGGTGTCCAAAGACACTGTCCAAGAAGCTGTCAGGGATCTACACAAAGCTAGCTATAATGGCCATGCAACGTTGAGGCAAGACATAGCTGGCCCATTGGCCTGTGTGTGAAGGAAGAGGTGAGGTGGCGTTCTCAGACAGATCTTAAGAGCTTTCTCTCTCTGATACTTCACAAGGAAGTTGAAAATTTCTACATTGTCTGTTCTATATGAAGGACAGCGGGAGCTTCCTAGCCTAGTGTCCAGCTAGCCCCTAAGTGTCAGCTCATTCATGGAAATTCCTTGAAGATACTTAATAGGGAGAAATAAGGGTGACCTGTCTGCTCCACAGGAAGCAAATGTTTTTGTTTACTTGCTTTAGGAGATGTAAGTAGTAAATGGACCACCTAAAATGCATTAGATGGAATAATTGTCCAAAAGGCAGTTTGATATTTGCAGTACCAGGCAAGGCTGTGCCATATGTAACTATCGTTCTAAGCTGTATCTGAATAGATGTGCAGGACTTTGGGGAAGACCTTCTAGCACGCTGGGGAAGCATTTCTAGCTCTTCAATTCTAGGAGGCTCACAGACAGATAAAAGGGACTTCAGCAATATCTGTACTTAACTATCTCACTACATTCCAAGATTTTAGGGAGATACATATTGCTGAGGTTTTGATGTCTTTTGGAGGGGGCTGTTCTCAGAACGGTGTGAGCAGAGAGAGCTAGCTGAGGCAAGCTAGTCATGAGCCAGAGAGAGAGAAGGACTTTCTCTGAAGTCTTTAGAAAGGGCAAGAATCCAATGCCAAACAGCTTTGGTTTGGAAAAAGCTAGAGATACTTTTTTCTGTCTGGGAAGACTGAGCTGGGGAGTGTAGACTGAAGCTAAATCTTACATCCTGAACACAGAGTTTGTACCCTGCATGCGTGGATTTGCTTCAGGTATCACCTGGGTTCACAGACAGCCCTGGGACAAGAGCAAACAGGCATTTCAAAGATGACACTATAGCAGCAAAATGGGCAGCCAGCAATTCAGCACTCACTGTTACTCCAGTATCCCTTCTTGGGAGAGCGATCTGGGTGATACCAAAGAAATCTGCATGCTCCCAGCCTCTTCCTTTCTTTCCTGGCTGGGATAGATCACGAGGCAGCACCAAGTTCCTCACCTCTCTGGTCCTTCCTGAAAGCATTGCCCGGCCCCATAGCAAACATATCATGAATCATTCATCTTTAATAGATTATGCAAATTGAGGACATCAGATCAATGAAGATCAATAACTGCAACCATTTAATTGCCAGCAAAAACATTTTAAGAATGAGCATTATCTGAAGTCCTTTCTTGGGTAATGGCACCATTAATCCAAACATTGGATCCTGGCCTAAGTGTAGAGGAAAAATTCTCCACCCCTGTTCCCCTGCTGCCTTTCAGGGTGTTGAGGGTTTTTTTTTCCCTTTTCATTTCCAGTTTCTGAGTTTCCCCATCATTACCACCAGTGAACAGCTCCCAACGCTAATAGTTCTGCTTTTGTTACTCTGCGCTGATTGAAATGTCGCATACAGATTGAGATGTTAGTGCTAAGTTGCCACCTGGGAATGTCAAGCTGGGTCTGAAATGAACTTTTCTCACTTTTGGATCCAGATGGATCAGATGGGGATGTTCTTGAGCTGAACTGGGAGTGTTGCAGGGAACAGAGGGAGATGGCACAGTGTTGGGGGGACATGAAGATTTTCTGCCTCAGCCTCTTCTGTGAGGCCAAATGTGTCTCCTGCTGTCCCCTTGTCAGAATCATGTCCAAAGCTTGTGCAGTGACCCCAGCATTCGGCAATTCTGCTCTCACATTAACAAGCTGGAATTCACCATCTTCACTTAGGCAGAAGGCCTAAAAAGAATTATTTTAATGGCCCCTTTGAATCTTAAATGCTGCTTATAGGGGTCTCACCTTTACATCCAGCTATGGGGATCTGCCTTCCATGAAGGAAGGCCAGTACTGCTCCCCTACTGGCTTTGCCCCCCAAAGACAGGAAAGTATTTCCTGTAAGAGCTGTAGATCTGTTAAATGGTAGATAGACACAAGCTGAGTTGTGTCTTGCATATGCAAATACAAAGAAAGGTGGAACAATTTTGCCACAGCTGAGCCATTTTTTTCTGGTTGGCTAAGAAACTGCATGGCTACATGGATCCTGGATCAAGCCTGACTGCAGTAAAAGCCAAGAAAAAAGTCTGGGTATGTCAGGCTTTCTAGACACTCCCTAAATATGCAGTTTGCCTCCCCATGGTTCTCCATGACAATTTGCAGACCTAACACTGGATGTCCTCTTGTATTTAGGGTAACTGTTACTAATCCTGCCCAGTCCTAAAGTTCCTGGTAGCCAAAAGTTTCATGTAATAATATGCCTTTGCTCAGTGTTTGCTGAACAACCAATGATTGCCTGCCTCAGCCATGAGCTGCTTTGACCACTGGGGCTTCTGCAAGAAAACGTTGAGACACAAACTCCAGTGCTCTTGATTCTGTGCCATCAGAGGCCAGCTTTTTGGCCAAGAGGCAACAGCTCCTTTCCTTGCTAACAGGACTTACACCTCTTTGTCATGAACTATTTCTCAACTTACACCATGAGGTTTCTAGAGGGGCTGCAGCAATTTTAGGGAAAGCGTGATATACTAAACAGGGGTGAATCACTTGGGCCTTGCCAGCTGCTCTAGCTACCCAGGAGGAGATGTGCAAACCTATGGCAGCTGTGTGAGCAGGGAGCAATGGCAACTAAAGCCTGAGAAGAAGGGCTGTGGCACTAGAATATCTCCTTACGGCTCTAGACACGCACAGGGAAGGCAGTCTACCACTAGCATCAGGATGGCATGTCCCGTGGCCCCAGGACAGCCCTGTGCTGCTCAGGTCCTGCACGTGCCACCAGTGAAGAGGAAGTTTCTGTGGAGCAGCTGCTGCAGCAATTGCCTCCTGCTTCTGTGCATCCGATTCCTCTGCTGCCTTGCGCTTGCTCTCATTTCCTACTCTCCCAGTCACACCTGAGTTTAATATGCCCACACATGAGGGCAGGGGGAAGGTTGTGAATAAATTTCTTTTGCCAGTTGCTGTTAGAGACTCACGGGCTTAAGAAAGAGGGATTTTAGCAGTCACAGTTCAGCAGACCTCAGTATTTAGTTTGCAAATGCCCCTCCAATGCCAGGGCTGAATAAAACTTAAATTATTGTTTCTCCCTGAGAAAACCAAGTGCGGATCATGGGTAGGCCATAACCCTTTTGTTCTCAGATGCAAAGTTAAAAATCACAGTGCGTATTTGGACATACCTGTCCTCCACCAACATCCATCCCTAAGCCCCATCTGGGCACACAAGTTCCCAACTCACACCTGGGTTTGCCTGTCTTTGAGTCACACCTGGGCACCTCTAGGTGTACCCAAAACTGCCAAAACTCTGAATTTCAAGCTTCTCTTGAGCCCTTGCATCCTCCACAGTCTTTCTGTCTCTTTCCATGTTTGCCACACAGGGATATCTTGCATTAGCAGAAAAAGCAGAAGCTAATGGTGATGAGGGAAATAAATAAAAAGCTTGGTTCTGCTGTTTGGTCAGGCAGCTTACCGGTCACCACAGGGTACGTCTGGGGTCCTGACACATTTGTCCCCAGGTCTGGGTTAGCAGAGGTGGATAGACTTGATTTGACTTCATCGAGACCAGGGGTCAGAGCTGGGAGGGAGTACTCATTACCCTGGGGAAGAGAGGAGAAAGACAGCTCGCTATTGATGCGCCGGGAGAAAGGGAAGGGTGTACAGATGGGGGGGAGGAAGAGGAGAGATGCAAACCCCTGCACAGATGGAAGAGGAGGAGAAGGAGGAAACAGAGAAGATGAAGTGACAAGAGGCTTGGGGCAGGGGGGATGGGGTCCTAGGATGAGCTATCCCACCCGCCTGCATGCTGCTGTGAAGGAGAAGAGGGGTGAGGCTGGGCGTGGGATCTGGCCCGTTATCTGTGGTATGACTGTGCCTTCGTTCAGTGCTGCGGGGATGGGCACGGCTGCCTGTGCCAGCCCAGGGGAGAAGAAAGGGGAAATCCACGTCCCCTCTTGGCTGAGCAGAGGCAGGAGGTGTTTGCCCTGATGACAAGGACAGCTGGGGCAGAGGACTGCGATGACATGACTGGGACAGGCGGGCTGTAGGAAGCAGGCAGTGTTGGCCCACTGTAGGCAGGCTCTCTGCTGAGTCGTCTGCCTCTTCTCTGCTGTTACCTCTGTACTAGCTCTTTAAAAACAAACAAAGAAGCCTCATCAAAAAAAACCTCTGCCGCTCTGGTCATGGGGGTATGAAATGGGGGAGGGGGGAGCCACATGGCTAACAGAAGGGTGGGAGGGAGAGAGCCATTGAATCTGAAAGGGTGTCCTGTCCGAAAGGCTCTGGTAATTGCCTTTTTATTGTGGCAGCCTCTGGACCAGACGCGGGAGCTGGAGAAACCAGGAAGGCTACAAAACAGCAGGAAAAGTTGCTCTGATTAATATTACGTTAAATTAAAACTGATTTTCTGCTCTTTCTGCTCCGTTTTTTTCCATGCGCTTCCCCAGCCCCCTCCCCGCATTTCCCCCTCCTCCAGTGGGCTCCCCACACGCTGCCCCC